AAGAACTTTTGAGATTGCACAAAATGAACCTAATTTTGCAGACCTAAGTGGGTACAACCATCCCAGAATTGGGTGATAACTGTGACAGAAAAAACCAAAAGAAGAAAACAAAAAAGATTATCTGTATGAGAAGATAAAATGTAACCTTACATACTTTTTTCTGCAGCACAAAAGACTCCTGAACAACTACACTATCACCACAATATTTTTCCAACTCTTCTGCTTTGTTTTTCAGAACTGAAGCCTTACCCTCTGCATCTACAAGTTTGTGAAGAACCTGCGCTTGACTTTCAGACAGTTTCTCTTGTTCTTCCAATAATGACTGTTGGTAACTTGCTCCATCCTTCAGGTTCTGCTTTGCTGCCTTTGAGAAGGCTAGGTATTCAATCTCAGTTTCAATCTTCAGCCGGAAAAGGTGCTCGAGCTCAGATTCAACCCCTTCGCATTTTATCTCAGAAAAACCTGCCGTTCTAGCAGATTCTTCACCAGAAATCTTTACACTACTCAAGGATGTTTCAAGTTCAGCAATCCTGGAGTCTTTCAGAGCAAGCACACCTTGTAACTCCTCCAGCTTGCCTTCCAAAATATTTATATTTTGTGTCAGGCTCAATACCCGAGGATCCGAGGAACTCGAAGCAGTTTGTTTAATTTCTTCAGCACCAGACTGATCAGAATGGCTTAATTTATTAAGTCCAAGATCAACAGTAGTACCAGCAGATGCACTGCTACACTTGGCAGAGTCATCAACATCCGGTGAAATGGCTTCAATCCCAATCTCCCTGAATTTCTGGAGTTCTGCAACAGTAAATGTTGATTGATCGTCAGCAATAGCAAATCTATATTAGTTCTTCTTACTTTTAAACCACTTAACAGAAAAGAAAGAACTTTAACACACCATAAAAAATTAACATGAAAAAAAAAAATTGTTTCTCAGTATTATGCAAACAATCTACTTTCGGCATCAACACAAGCAAACCCTAAATAGATTAAAGGAAACGTTATAATATAGTCATTAATTATTTAAGTAAAACATAAATTTAAATATTAATGAGAAATAGAAAAAAGCACATGTTGTTCCAACAGATAATAGTTCAGATAGGGTAGAGAGGTAGAATTGTAGAAAGTAGTATAAAAGTCAATAACCTATCTTTCACTGTTTCCCGTTGCTGATGTCATAAATGATGTATTTGACCATCTAATAGGACCAAGGAAAATTAGCTGATCTAGAATTCGTATACTCTCTGAATACATGGATTTGACTCAAACAAGTAGAGGTAATGTAATCTTAGTCGTTAATGAAAACATTACGGGTGGATCTTCCTGTGCACGCATGATTTGTTATGCATGCACACTAAATATTAACCATTAAGCATAGATTTTCTAATTAACATCTAAGAATAATTACGTCCCCCTCCATGGACAAGTTGGTCACTTTTACAGAGGCTGGATCACGAATAAATAATCACAGTACCACGACAAACAAGCTAGTTTTGAAAAGAAACAGAAAATTAATACATTATGCATGGTGGTCCTGCTAAAAAAACAAAGCTTTAATCGAAAAATACAAGCGAACTGTGAACATGAGCAAGAGGACAACAGTTTTTAAATTTAATATTAGAGGATTATATGATTTATCAAAAAGGCTTACAAAGGAAACTAGACTAGACCTGTAGACCATCACATATTTAAGGTATATAATAAATTAATCAAGAAGTTTAAAAGAAAATAAACTATATGGAAACAGAATATTGATCATTCAATGATTTAGTTCACAACATATTCAGATTCATTGGATAAGCCTCAACCACATATCACGTATAATGCATCAGTGAAATATTTATGGAATGTCCAAAATTATACCAAAAACTGGAGCCTGCTACTCAAATTAAAACGATAGTTTTGTTTTCAAACAAGAAACAGACCCTTCACTATTCCCATGCAAGGTGCTCAACAAGGAGCCAAATCCGTTTAACAGAACAAAATCAATGTATTCCTCTGGTTGAGTTTAGAAAAATATAAAATCATAATGTTTAAAAAGTTGTGAAGTTCAATCAGACCGAAACATATCAGGTCAGTCATTGCATTGATATCTACTGTTACAGCTGAATTAAATCATGCAGCAGAATCCAATAGTCACGAAACTTCTAATTAGGTAATATTTGCAGCATAAATTTTCTAATGATCATAAAACAAAGAAGCATAACAATATCAGTTGCAAAATGATAAGGTGCAAGAGAAATATTCACAGAAAAGATCAAGCTTTCCAGAAAAATCGAAAAGACAAACCTTCTTGAAGTGCCTCCTGGACAGCCTGAAGGCTATTAACTGATTCAATTAAGGGATCTCCAATGGATGATGGTTGGTTGTTCACACTTTTTTCTTCTGTAACATCCCAAGACAAATTTGTAGCCAAATTATCCGGTAGAAGATCTTCATCCTCTACAATATTTTCGTTGCCATAAACAGCTTCAACTCCCTCAGTGAAATGTTCATTAACGTGTGCTTCACCACTATTAACTCCATCATAAATATTTGTCCTACCACTGTGTGTTCCATTACTAGTAACTGAAAAACCACCCTGCTTAAAGTTGGAGCTTCTAGAATCAGATTCCAAACTAGAGAAAGAATTTTCTTTCTCAATTTGGACTCTTCCACCTCCTCCTGGTTTCTTACTGCTTTCAGTCCGTCCCTTCCCCTGTTGAACTCGTTGAGCCGAGTTCGGTAAATGCTTCGAATTCACATTCTTACTACGGTTTTTCTCTGGCCTCAACTTGGGCTCACTAGCCGCCGTAGAAGACTTGCTACTCCGATCCTCACTATTCTCAGAATCAGTTCCAACAACAAAACCAGATCCAAGTGCGTATCTAGAATCCGAACTCGAACCATGAATCACATTCCCGTCAGAAAACACTACATTCCCAAACATATCGGAAGATCCATCGCTTCTCTCCTTAACATCACGCAGATAAGGCTGTTTTTCACTCAAATTGGGATTGGCAGGCAACCCCCTCTTCAAGACTTTGCCAGAATCAGCACTTGAATTCGGATCCTTAACAACATTTCTCCTAATTCTCTTCCATTTCTTCAACCCAACCCCCTTTGTCGGTGTCCCTTTGGAATTCACTCCTTCCTCACTATCCACTTCAACTTCATCTACCGTTCCCTTTTGATCCAACCCGTTGACACCCGAATTTCCCTCCAATCCCAACCCAGTCTTCTCGTTTCCATAGGGACCACCGTTTCCATTTCCATCATGATTCACTTCGTTCTCTTCCACGGATTCGCTACCCAAATCCATGATCAGTTTCGAACCTCTTTTCTAAATCTGGACATGGAAATCAAAACCCACTTAAAATTAATTGCCGGTTAAGCAGCAAATGAAACGAGAATTCAAGAACTTCAATACAAAGCAAAAAATAATAATAACTAAAAAAAATGAAAATAAAAAACGGCTTTTTAAAATAAGCAATCAAAAAATTGAATGAGAGAGAGAAAGTGAAAAGGAAAAGGATCTATGAATTAGAGTAATTACCTTCATAAACGAAGTCCTTGGATTGGACACGAAAACCCTAAAATTTGAGATTTTGATGGGAATTGTAGTTTTATAGGTAGAGAAGGGATCGAAGCAAATGAAGCGAAATATAACATTTTTAAATTAATTATATATTTATGTGCATACAAATCATTACATTCCTTTACTAAAATTTTCATTTTTTTTTCTTCTGAATTTTATAAAAATTTAGTTAAGGCTAGTTAGCTTATTATTTATTAAATTGAACAATTTAAGGAAATAAATAGATATTACAATATTTTTAAGTATAATTATTATTTAACTCAACACTCATCAATAAGTTGCACTGTGGAAAGTAGAATATTAATTACTAATTACTCATATTTAATCATTAATATTAATAGAACCGAGTTTGTAGAAAAAAATTTAAATTAGTGAGAGACAATCAATTATGCTTTAAATTCTTTTTAACAATACAGTGATAATTTAATACCTAACAGTAGATTGAATAATTTAATTAAATAAATAATAAATGATTTGATAAAAAGCTGAAACAGCGACAATGGAAAACGTGGGCCACATGGAGACGGTGGCCCACAGTCATATCATATCATGGAAGCAGTGTACCTGGATCACAGCTTCTTCACTGCAACATAATTTTAAAAACATATATACTTTTAGTTAATATGCACTTTTAATAAAATTTAATATCTTCAATAGAAAAGGTAATTCTTTTCAACACAGTAAAATCTACTTTTTATCATTTGAGAATTAAAGTTTAGAAAAAAATGTGATGATTATTAGTTAATGGTCACTGCCAAAACAAGTATCCTCCATTGAAAGAAAGAAAGAAATATATATATATATATATATATATATATATATATATATATATATATGAAAAATATCTGTATACTGTGCAATATATTTTCCCACCTTTTTTATGAATACTAAGTTCTATTTTTAATTCTTATCTTTTGTACTATATTTATTTGATCTTTAACTTTTTAGATGAAATATGGTATCACTTTCTATGGTATTAATAGTTCATATTTAATGTCTTAAAAATTGTGTTTGTAAAATTAAAATATGTACATTTAGTTAATTTGAGCACAAAAAACTTGTTGAATAATTGATAAATTTGGTTGAAAACTTCTTTTGACTTTAACCAAACTGATAGTAAACATTCAAGAAAAATAATAATAATAACCGTGTATGTACGTTAAATAATATAATCATACAAAAAAACTTGGATAAACCTAACGAGCCCTACCAGACTTATAATTCAGTTCAAATTTCAGTTTTAGGTATTAATTTGGATGTTGCTCTCATCTTTCTGAGAGAACCGCCATTCCTAAAAAAAACACTTTTTAAATGTGAAAAGGACACATTTTTTTATTCATTTCAAGGCATGGACACTTTTCCAATAATAAACCGAAAAAGGGAAAAGAAAAACCATTTTCCATAAAGCTAAAATAGAATGTCACACTGACAAAAGAAGTTTTCTCATTTTCTCTTGAAGATAGAAAAGTCTCAATGTTGAATTACAATAAATCTAGCATTAAAATCTATCATTACATTTGTTTTTGTTCACAAATTACAACAGTTCTAATAGTAGGGCAATTTCATAGAGTGCTAAGTTCCCAAGAGGTTGAGCCCTTTCGTTAAATTATTACTTTTTAATTAACTTCATGATTAAACCGTTTACTAAGAAAACTTAGTGGTCTTCACATATATGTTGAGAAAGGTTAACCTCTTGAGATTGCACATCAGTAAAATTACCCTAGATGAGATATAAACTTATCAGCATTTACTCAAATTCATTTTAATTTCAGAATATTTACTGCAGTACAAAAAGTAGAAGTACCCTGCACTGATATTAAGTTGTTCAGCCACCACTAATTGGAGGTATTATGGCCAACTCATCTGTGTCTTTAACAATGCTCGACTCGGTTGTATACTCCTCATTCAGAGCCAAGACCATACACCCTCTGATTTCTTCTAAACCTGGAAACTTCACAACAAGCTTTTTCAAACAATCATGAGTAGTACTTCCAGATGGCACCTCCAATGGCATCTCACTCAAGCCAGTGAGATCACGTGCTCTAGCAAAAAACAACACTTTTATCTTCACTAGAGAACTTTCCTTCTTGTTCCGAGTGCCATCTTCATCCAAAATCTTAGTATCTCCTTCCATCATATCCCTTTTCTGCTTATAAGTTGTTGGAGACAAACTAGTATGTTTCTGCAAACTGCAGAAAATTAAATCTGACAACACAAATCAATGTTTATTATTTATTTATTCAATGCTAAAATAAATCAGGGGAAACAATTCCACCAAAACCAACTTTGGCTACCAAAAACATTAAAATGAAAAATATCCAAGTCATCTAACTGAAAAAAAAAAATAAAAAAAAAAAATCTATCTATATACAGTGAACATGAGAACATGCTTCTGGAAATGGATGCCAGTGATAAGTGTCACAATAGTTTTTTTTTAGGTGGGTGGGGGTGGTTATTGGAGGAAGGCAACCAAATTTATAAGTCAGAAGCTTCCACTAATTTTTATTTGATATAGAAGACATAAAAAAGAAAGACATTTTAATCAAGAACTTGTCTTTATGCCTTTTCCTGTACTTAGATTTAGTGCTCAGCCAAGTATAGGGAAGAATAGAAGCCAAAACGAATAGCAGTGTTAGTGGAGGCAAACATTTAGTTATTCATCATTCTTGAGTTCATTCCATTTAAAGGAAATAAATAAATGTTAGGGAAAACAAATGGCAAGTTAAGTTATGAGCAAATGTGCAATTGCTGTTCAGATTACTTAGTAAAAAAATTTGCTGAACCTGGACCCGCTTTCAAAGCAAACTGGTATACAATGGTATGGAATAATGGGCAACCAAGTGCACAAAGCTCCCATTTAGTGGGGTCTTGAAAGGTTACATACAAGCAGCCCTACCTCCTAAAGCAGAAATTGAACCAATAATTTCCAAGCCACAAAGCAGCATCTTTGTTGGTGTGCCAAAGGTCACCCTCTATAAAATATAATGGAATTATAATGTAAAGTTTTGATGGTTTAACACTCCTGTATGTTTAAAACGGCACATGAGTTTGAGTATCTAACGCAAGCAACACATTAAACAGTAAATGCTGTCCAACATTACAATATGTAGACTCAAACTTTACTTAAAAAGTTACACTGAATGGGAAAAATCAGAAAATTTCAAAAATGAAAGCTCTACTTGTTATTAGATTTACAGAACAATTAACATAACGCAATCTCAGTTAATGTAGCACAGCTTAATATATAAGTGGTGGCAGAAACAAGAACTATGCATAAATAGCACTGGTTTCGACAAAAATATGGTATCTAGCATATGGGTCAAGAACTAAAATACTACGTGCTCCACAGTTAAATTGAAGGCTCATATCTAACACTTCTAAAATAGAAAAGATCCAAATCTGACATCCAAACGGGTTATGATCGCAATCAAGTGTATTTACCAAAACCATAACACAACATGCAAGTTCAAATTATTTATGAAAAATTTGGAGCAACCTCACATTGATGTTGTAGAGAACCAGTTAGTTGGCTAGATGCTAAGACAAATAAATCGTGATGCACTAATCTCAGTCATACGACTCAAATATAACAAGAATGAGTGAAAACTCTCGTAATGAGACAACTCCATAAAACTGATGCATGAGAGCCTCAAACCAAGAGCACTTTAACTCTGACCTAAAAAAGCAACCTTCAATAAAATAATAATTTGAATTTCTCTTCACATGTTATCATCCCCATATTCAACTTCAATTAATTAAATACAGTCAGCTCCAGGTAAAACAAGAACATAAACAAGATAATTATATTAACAGGACAAAGTACCCTTTCAACAACATCACACTTTAAGAACCATATAAAAAAATTCTCCGGGCACAGTAACAGAAACATCAATAACCATTACCTCCTTTTTCTAAAAGNAGTATCTAACGCAAGCAACACATTAAACAGTAAATGCTGTCCAACATTACAATATGTAGACTCAAACTTTACTTAAAAAGTTACACTGAATGGGAAAAATCAGAAAATTTCAAAAATGAAAGCTCTACTTGTTATTAGATTTACAGAACAATTAACATAACGCAATCTCAGTTAATGTAGCACAGCTTAATATATAAGTGGTGGCAGAAACAAGAACTATGCATAAATAGCACTGGTTTCGACAAAAATATGGTATCTAGCATATGGGTCAAGAACTAAAATACTACGTGCTCCACAGTTAAATTGAAGGCTCATATCTAACACTTCTAAAATAGAAAAGATCCAAATCTGACATCCAAACGGGTTATGATCGCAATCAAGTGTATTTACCAAAACCATAACACAACATGCAAGTTCAAATTATTTATGAAAAATTTGGAGCAACCTCACATTGATGTTGTAGAGAACCAGTTAGTTGGCTAGATGCTAAGACAAATAAATCGTGATGCACTAATCTCAGTCATACGACTCAAATATAACAAGAATGAGTGAAAACTCTCGTAATGAGACAACTCCATAAAACTGATGCATGAGAGCCTCAAACCAAGAGCACTTTAACTCTGACCTAAAAAAGCAACCTTCAATAAAATAATAATTTGAATTTCTCTTCACATGTTATCATCCCCATATTCAACTTCAATTAATTAAATACAGTCAGCTCCAGGTAAAACAAGAACATAAACAAGATAATTATATTAACAGGACAAAGTACCCTTTCAACAACATCACACTTTAAGAACCATATAAAAAAATTCTCCGGGCACAGTAACAGAAACATCAATAACCATTACCTCCTTCTTTTTCTAAAAGAAAAGGACCAAACCATTCGTCAAACATCTTACAAGCATACACACCCCTATCCCTATATAAATTATTTACACAAAGAATTTCACAAATATAATCGCATCCATTTATCATGCAACAAGACAACAGAACAATAATAAAAAATAAATTAGGCACGAAGTCCAAAACATTAAATTAGGCATCTCACGTTTCAAAAAGTACGAAATGGTCCTTACAGAAACTGGCTCAGATTATTGAAAAAAAACTGCCTAATTCCCAACGGCCCCCATCCCTCTCATAACAAGACACTTTTCTCTTTCCACCTCTCCTGTTATTTTTAGGCAATCTGCCTAAATTCTTCGCTATCTCAGCCAAAAAAAACAAACGGATACCAACAATTAACAAACAAACTGACTCTCCAAACAGGCCCCTGATCAAACTCCTAGCCAATAACTTCTATCTATCACATCAGTAATTGATAGGTTCTTATTATCTGTTCGAAAGTAAAATTGAACTGCCTTTCAGCCTTCACGTGTTACATTAGTGTTATGACATTGGATATATTCAAATCTGCAGAAACTACATACAAACTGCTGCAGTTACTTAATACTCACAAACTCAGAAGAAGAAAACAACTAATTTTCAAAGGATTTGTTTCAGGTCTGAATTATACAGTGTGATCTGAAAGTTAAATTTTACTTGTTACTCTAGTTGTTCTGATGACCACCAAGTACTGTAATTAAATAGTTAGTATTGGTTATTCTTTCATAGCAACTGAAAGGAAGTTGACCTCATTCAGTGTATCTGGATTCTGGAATGCTAAAATAGAATATGATTTGGTTTATATATAAAACCTTTCGTTTAGAACATTACCAAACGAAAAAGAAATATTTGATTTTACAAATTTGCATTTCAACGATTTAGTTCTAGCAATCTTGTAAAATATGGTGAGATTTTGTCACCCATAACATAGACTCATGGTGCCTGGACAGAGTGACATGAGATGTTTGGTAAAAAGTGTTCACATAGATCAGTAATGACCATAATCCAAAGGAAAGGCTTTTGTTTGAAGCTTCCCGGGTTGGAGAGCATTAAGTAGTGTAACTTCAACCTTCCAAGGAAAAGATAATGGTTGAAGATGATGAAAAGGG